CAGATCGAAGATATCGGATCGATCGGGTAGATTTGCGTTTTAATGAGGTGTGCTTGCACCGATGCCCGCTGAATCTTGAAGAGCTAAGTGTAACGGGACGAATTGAATTGATCGATTGCATCGGCGTTTAATTGAATCGGAACATGGACAGTTTCGTTCTAGAGACGTCGTCCGGTAAATTGTGCATAATGTTGTACTACAAGGGGCCGGCCACGGATCCTTGTAACCGACGAAGCACGATTGCCGCCGTTATCCGTCCGATGTTTCTCGGTTACTCTCGTTTCCAAACGATCGATCCCTTTCCAAATGTGTTCGCTCCTCCTTTATTACGTCGCCCCCCCACCCGAGATCGAGATCGAGATCTTGTTTAACCTTGGGCCAAAAGCGGGGCCATCTTCCTCCCCTCCCTTACACGCTTCTTCTTATACAATTATTTTCCATCTGCCTTGAATAACCTCGATTGCGAAGAATTTCAGAAAATTTTGGAAACTTCTCTTCATTGATTATAAATAGATTACAATCGTGAAGCGTCGTTTCGAATAAACTCATGACTCGATTCGACGACGATGTCGACTCGATTTAACTTACGACGATGTCGTAAGTTAAAGATATTAAAGCTTAAGAATCGTATTTCTAGTACGAAATAGCGATCCGTTGGGCTTAATGGCGAGCGAGGGGAAAACGTGTGGTCCGAAAACAGTCGGGCCGACTGTCAACACGGATGCGACGAAGATGGCGGGCAAGGATCGAGCGAGATCGAAGAAGGGACGAGGAAGAGGATTGGCGTAGGAGCCGATGAGAAGGTTGCGACTTGAGCTCTCACTTAGCAGCCGCAGTGTCACGATCGGGACGGCTGCATTAGCATATCTCCACGATGCAGCGTGTAGACTCGGTGGAGAGAAAAAGACGTTGGCTACCGTTGGTAGTACAGAGGGAAAGGGAGAGAGGAAGACGAGAGGAGCACATTGCGAAGGGATCGAGGGAGAGGGAAGGAGAAGGGCAAAGCGTTCGTGGATGCATCGTTCGGTACGAGTGGCATGCATCTCTTGCACGGGTCGTGGCCCCGTGAAAACAGGGCGCGCACATAATACGGGTGGAAAGAAGGAACGAGAAGAAGAAACGAGAAGAGGAGGAGGAGGAGGAGGAAGAAGCGGAGAGAACTCACTCAGACCTCACCAGACCTGCCTGTTACCTGTACGTCGCGTGTTTGCCTACCCGCGTCACGATCAGGATCCTATTTGCATAGCGCCGATGAAGCTGCTACCGTTGCGCTCGTTTTCCTGCCACCGGTGTCCTCCTCCCTCCGTGGCTACGCGTCCGCAAAGGAAAGATGACGGGGGGTGGGGTTGGGAGGAAGTGCAGAGGAACGTGTTTGCTTCTTCTTTGTCGATCGATGGCAAGATGTCGAAGGCGTCGCTTTGCTGACCTTTGGGGGAAGCGCGAGAAGAGAGGAGGAGGTGAAAAACGGATTTTTCTTTCTTTTTCTTTTCTTCTTCTTCTTTCTAAATTTCAAAGCGATTTTTTTAAGAGGAACGGGCGAAGAAATTTTTCACGGATCGTTAAGCGTATGCGAATAATAAGCGGTGGAAATAAGTAAAACTAAAAGACTGAAAAGTAAACTGAAAAGATATACTCGTTACACGTGTCGGCTCGCCTTTGACACGCATGTAACGCGATAATGCATTAATAATGCGACAAGCGAAAATTAGCCACGTGCCGAGGCATATCGGCCACTGCACTCATTTATGCAACGACCAACTATTATTTTGTATATCTCTTTTACTCCTTGTTCAGTATTCGCGATTCGAAGGTGAAAAAGAAGAGATCGTGGAAAAAAAAGAAATGATCTGAGATACCGAGATAAAACGCGTGGACATTTTGGAAATGGCGGCGAACTGGAATTTAGAAACAACTGGTTTCACGGTTGTTTCTAAATTCAATTAAAAGCCTGGTCGGCAGGCAGACGAAGGGGAGGGGGAGGAATAATGGCGCAAGAGGAGGAGAAACTTCCGAACTCCGTTTCTCACGCGGCTGTTCGTTTCTCTTATAAAGCGGGGGCCGAAGGTGTACACGGGCGCGGTATCGGTTCTCAGAACGGCTTATCAGCCCGCGGATATGTTAATGGCGGCCGTGTTCGACCCCCTGCCCTCATCTGCCCCTCGACCAGCCACCACCATCGCCGCCGCCACCACCACCGTCTTCTTTTCGAGATATATTACACCCTCGAAGCCGGAGGTGGTTGGTGGCGGTTGCGGGTAAGCGGTTGTTGCGCGAGCAAGGTGCAGCCCTCTCGATCGGCCGTTGAACGTTTGCATGCACGTGCAATTAAGAATGGTATAATCCCCCTCGTCGTTGAGAACGAAAAGACGAAAGGTGGAAAAAGGAGGAAGGAACGGAACGAGCGTTGTGGGTTTTTAAACGAGTCCGCTTCGTGGGACGACACTGGTGCTCGTGCTCGATAGAGTCGTTCGAACACGTTGAAACCTCCTCTTCGAGGAGGATGGAGTGTGTTACGTGCGCTCGATCGATGATTCGAAGTAAAACGTAAAACGAAAGTGACGTGATCAACGAGGTTTCGCCGAATGATGCCGATGCTTCCGAAGGTATTGAAGAAAAATTTGAGGAGGGCGTAATTTCGAACTTCGATTTTACGATTTTAAGGGGAATATCCGGAAGATTTATCGATGTTGATCCGCTTTCTGAAAAGTGAAAAAGTTATTATGGCCAGGGTCTCGTGTACGTAAACTCATTAATTAATGATATCAGGGAATTGACAAATGATAAGCGGAACGATAAGAGTAATAGTTTTTCCGATAATGCAAACATTTCGCAATTTTACAATTTCGATGCTTTACGACGGGCAGGATAATCAGCCAGTTTCTAATTTACATAATTCAAATAAACTTTGCCGCAAAACTCGTCGCAAAACTTTTTATTTCGCTTGTAATTACCCGCTGTTCATAAATAATTCGTGACACGGATGTGATGTTTCAAAATTCTACGATACTTGGACTCCATCGAGTAACGTAACTCGATCATCGCCGTGGAAAGAGATGGTTGGAAGAAGAATCGTACCACAAGTTCCACAATTTCGATTCACGATTCGAAGCTCGCGCGTAAACGCGAGACAAGCGTGTACAAGCGGTCCCAGGTAGCTTGTACACGCGTGCAATTAAGAATGGTCTCTCTCTTCCTCCTCCTGCCCCTCGTCGGGTCGGACGTGGAAGCGAACGACGACAAGCCTCGAAGAAATAAGCACTCGAATTGCAGATAGCATTAGGAAAAGGAGAGAGAGAGAGAGGGAGGCGACGAGTAAAGAAGGACGAAGGAAGAAGAAGAAGAAGAAGAAGAAGAAGAAGTAGCGGTGGTGCCGGTCCAAGCGAGCGATCCATCGATGACCGCTTATTTACAGAGAGGCAGAAGGAACACGACCGAGTTGTAGATGCGAGCCGTGGATAGGCTAGTAGAAGTGCGCTCCAACCCTTTGCCCCAATCTTCCTCGGCATCTCGCCTCCTCCTCCTCCTCCTCCTCCTCCCCGCCCTCCCTCTTTCGTCTCGTTTCTCGCTCGTGTACACGGAGGGGAGGGGAGGGGAGGCTCGCCCAGGCAAGCAGGCAATTAAAGGATCCGGGTAATTCGACGACGGACGATACGCGTGTTTCGTCTCGATTTCGAGGACGAAACCGCCCGGTGGAGATGTGCTATGCTTTCCCTGGATATCCGTGGCGAGGCATCTCGTTGGAAGGCGAAAGATCACGGCGATTCGAGGTGTCGATGCCGTGTCGAGCATTGCTCCACTTGCTTGGCAACAGGATGTTTCCCCAACTGCGGTTTTCGATACTGCGGATAGCGCGTTTCTCTTTTTCGCGTGTTTTTCAAGAGATCGATCTTGAAGTTTTTCTGCGACGTAACGAAGGTTTTAATTAATTAGGGAGAGGAGGGAGGGAGGGGTTTAACCTCCTAACTGATCGAGAATAGAGAATTTTGAGTCTGATCGAGAAGTCTAGATAGGCGAGGAAAAATTTTAAATACCTCCTCGGTGTTAATTGAAGTTCGGCGTGTATAAGTTGGAAGGAGCGTTAAAAGAACGGTATGCGAGTAATTAAAAGGGAATAAAGAAAAACTCTGAATTCGTCAGCCTCAAAAGGGATGAGGTGTTTGAAATAACTTTCCGTAGTGTTCGACTTCCTTTCGACTCGAGAGATACGATCTCGAGACTCGAGATAAGGATCTCGAAAAAGCGGGGGGAAACCTTGAAAAATCCGACGAGTCCATATCGCTTGGAAATATAGTTTCCAGAGAGCGTGGATAGTTCGGCGAATGGGCCAATAAACGGAGTCAACCCCGAGATAATCCGTCGAGGTTATCCGAAATTTCGACGCGAGAGCAGCCCCTTTCGGCGTCGAAGCGGCTCTCGCTTGGAGTGGTGGGGGACTCGAGGCGTGCGAAGGGTGCAGCGAGTGGGGTGGCCCGGTGGAGGGATAGATAGACGAGTAGAGAGAGATAGGCCGGTGGTGGGACAGAGGGAGAAGGGAACAGAGGGTACGCAAAGGCTTGGCGTGGCGAACGACCATTAGGGAGCCGAACGGCCATAGGGACGCATCGTTTCACGTGCGTGTCGAGTCCTCCTTTTTCCCCCCTCTCTCTTTTCCTCTTCTTTCTTCTCTCGTTTTCTTGCCCACCGCTTCCGGCTCCGCCGTCACGGATCCGTTTTCGCGGGCCATGGTCGTTTCTGGCGAATTCGTCAACCGCTGTTGGGATAACTTGAGGAAATGTACGAATATGTATAATAATAGTAATAATAACAACGATAATAAGCAACAATAATAAGTTTGATTGAAAATTGAAAATCTTACCTGTTACATTTCTTTTTTCTTTTTTTTCTCTTTTTTGAAAAGTTGATGAAAAATTTCGATAGAGGGAAGATTGTCGGAGGAATTGGATTGTTAGAAAAGTAATTGGCGAAAGGAAGATAAAAATGATGTTGTTTTGCGGTTTCAGGGGAGGATGAGGAATGGAGCGACTCGGAGAAGACACCTTCGGTGAGCAGTGGAGTGGAGGGCGGTGGATCGGCGGTCTCGAGCCCGATCGCGCCGATCGTCGAGGAGGAATCGAGTTTGCCGCCACCACCGAGACTGAATCCCCCTTCCTCGTCGGCTGTGATCGCGAATTCGGCCGCTGAAGATATCAGATTGAGGCTCAGCGTTCTCTCTGAAGACGCTCGGAAACGGCTGGCTAGTCTTACCGAAGATATCGAGGTAAAATTTAATTAGGAATCGATTGTTATCTTAACGGAAGAATTTGATCTTTAACTAATTTACAGATGTATCGACGAATCTTTTACCCTCGAATCTAAACATATAAACGATACTTAATTCTATTATTATTAAGTAAGAAACGACACGTAATATCTTTCCTAACGAATCAAATTGCTCGAGAGAAACTTAGGAAATTTCGAAACACAGGTTGCGAGAAGCTTGAGAGATCGACATGTCACCCCGAGGGCCAATCAAACGCGAGAATCGAGCCCGAAGGACACGGACGAGGATTCCAACATGGTCGTGGTCAAGGAAGAGGATTGCCAGCCGAGGTCGTCGTCCTCCTCGTCTTCCTCGACCCGAAGGCGGGAGTCCGTGTGCAGGAGGGACTCGGAGGACTCCTCGAGACGATCGAACGCGGACGACACACCTTCCGAGAAAAAGTTGAAACTCGACGACGAAGCAGCACCAAGACTGAGACTCAATGCTAGTCTGGCGACGGATCCTGCGCTTCGGCCCGCCGCTGTAGCCGCGCTCACCGTCAAACCGGAAAATACCTCGCCGCCGAATCCTGTGCCACCCCTGCCGGCTGGACTTCAGAACGGTAACTATTGTAACGATTAGACGCTTGAATCATTGCCTCTGATCCAATTAATACATTCAAACCTCTTGGAATAAAGATTGGAATTCGCGAATAAAGATTTCTTCTAGATATCTCTGCGAGAAAAGAGATACTAGAATAGAAAGAAGGGAAAAATACATTAGATCGATAATTCTATCTAATGTATTGCAATTTCTTAAAAGAAATTTTCTTTCATTCTTTCGCTCCCCCCGTTCCAATTTCAAAGATCAACATCGCCCCAGCGATACATCATTATCCTATCCCCTCGCGGTATCAACTCCTCTTACATAAAACTGTATACAAAAGTATATACATAACTCGCAACATTGCAGCGATCGCGTCAGGTCGGCTGTTCGTGCTGCCAACCGACGGCAAGGAGACGATCACGGTGGAGCCAGCCAGGCCGGCGCCGCTCATCTGCCCGCCATGCGGCATCCGTTTTAGCTCAGCGAGCACCCTCGAGGCGCATCGCACCTTCTACTGCGCCCATCGTCCTCGGCTCGAGGAGGAGGCAGCCAACGAGGAGGACGAGGAGAAGTCGAATAAATTCGAGGTGAGGAAGGCGTACGCTTGCCCTCACTGTTCGTACAGCGCGGACAAGAAGGTCTCGTTGAACAGACACATGAGAATGCACGCCGCGTCCCCGGCGCCGCCCACGATACCAACCGCGCCGACCACGGCCACCACGCCGGGGACAGGCGCGGCTACCGCCTCGAACGGCTCGTTGAACGAGGAAGCGGAGAGATACTGCAGAAATTGCGACATCCGATTCAGTTCCCTCAAGACTTACAGAGCGCACAAAACCCACTACTGCAGCACCAGGCACGTGGTGAAGGATGCGCAACCGGCGGCCACGGTGGCCGCCTCCTCCTCCGTCAAAGCATCGCCGCCGACCAGCGCGAGCCCCGGTGAATCGCCACCCCCGCAACCGTGTCTGGCATTGCCCACCAACCCGATTCTGATCGTGCCGTACTCTTTGTTCCGCGGCGCCAGCGTTCTAGCTGCGCCGACTCTGCCTGCTCCTGATACCGCGTGCTTCCTTCTTCCAAACGGTACGTATTCCACGATTCGTTTATTCGAGGTATTCGTCGGTTGCGGGGTACGTTACGTCATTTTTTTGGCGTAGGTCATCTTCAACCGATGACAAGAGGTCTCGCAACCACGGGTCAGAATGCCGTGGTCGAGCCTCCGCCTGTTCTTCGAGCCGCGAACAAACCAACTACGCCCGCGTCCGTCGTGGCATCGTCCACATCGCCATCGGGCTCAGCGCCACTGGACTTGAGCGTGAGAAAGTCACCAGCCCATCAAGACGAGAAAGAGAACAGAGTGTCGCCGGCACCCTCTTCTCTGCCTCCCCCACCTGGCAGTCCACGGTCCAGAGGAAGCGGAAGTCCTAGAGCGAGGTCGATCGGATCTACTCCTACGGTGACTGGAACCGTCGTTCCACCGCCACCAACGGAACTCGCTCTGAGATTGGCCGAACTTCCTCCACCACCTGTTCCTAGCGTTCTCGTGAAGCAGGGTGTCTCGAGGTAAGGGTACTCCCGATGTACTAAAATTAAATAGGTTAATGTACGTGTAATGCGGTTCAAATGTGATCGAACGTGATCAAATATGATCAAATGTGATAACGTGATCAAGAATCGTTCGATTTTCAGATGCAAAGAGTGCAACATCGTGTTCTGTCGACACGAGAACTTTGTCGCGCACAAGAAACATTATTGCCAGGCGAGAGAGACATCGGTCAGCAACAGTCCTCCGCCACCTGGTACACCCTCGCCTCCTTTGGTTCAGTTAATTTGCGCCGCATGCGGAATCAAGTTCGCCTCTATGGATAACCTAGTAGCTCATCAAGCGTTTTACTGTCCTAAAAGGCCAGAACCCCAAGAACATCATTCGCGATGTTCCAAGTGCAAAGTTAATATTCTTTACGATTCATTTTCAATTAAATGTGTAATTACCTGGATAAAAAATTAATGCTATATTTTCGTATCTTCTATTTCCAGACTATAATAGAACCTGGAACAACCCATACCTGTACCAGTGGACCGACCGGTGGTTGGAGATGTCCTGTTTGCGGTGCTGTTAGTCCAACGGCCGGAGCAGCTCAACGCCACATGGATGCGCATCAAGGCGTGAAGGCTTTCAGGTGCACGATCTGTCGTTACAAAGGAAACACGTTACGCGGTATGAGAACGCACATCAAAATGCACTTTGAGAAACGCGGAACCGATTTGCAGGTATGGTTTACACTGCATTACACCGATGCCCTTATCTCGTAAATTCCTTGATAAAATCACGTTTGGCTTTCTCTAGGAGGAAAATTATATAACATGCGTACTCGATGACGAAACAGTTTTGCCTACACCAGAGCCTGCTCCAGCTACCACTCCCGAGGAAATCCCTGCCGAGGTGCAAGTAAACGGGAAAACCGAAGTTCGAAAGAGTCCACAGCCACCTCCGCCACCTCCTCCCCCACCGCCCCCAGTGGCTAATAAGGTGAAGCAAGAACGTGAGGATACGCCACCACCTCCTGAAGAAAGTTTAGATCCCAACAAGAGCGGTCCGCGTTACTGCAGGTCATGCGACATCAGTTTCAATTATTTGAGCACGTTCATAGCTCATAAGAAGTTCTACTGTTCGAGTCATGCGGGGGAAGCTAGTAACAATAATAACAATAATAATAACAATAATTCGAGCAGTCACGCGACGACGCCTCCAAGCAGCAGAACCGAAGCGTCGGTACTTTAAAAAAGACTCTTGGAATGGGACAACCAATGGGACTGTTAATTGTTGCCAGTTTATATATAATATAATTGCCGACTATCCAATTTAGTTGACTACCGTTGTGTGATTTCTGTTGATCCAGGGAATTGTTTGTACTTATAAATTGAGTTATCCGACGTGTACATACGTGCGATGCGTGAGGAAGGAGCTGCGTAAAACGTAAGCTAAAATGTAGAAGCAAGCGGAAAGTTAGGCGATCGTGGCAACGTTAGTTTGATAGTTTGCTTTGGATGAATTAGACGAGGGAAAGATTATTGGATTAGAGGAAAAAATAAAATAAAACGTGAAAACCAAAGTGAAACTGTCAAATGTACGAAACGATGTGTAAATCCACGTATGAAAGGGATCGTGCAGTTAGGTTTACGATGCAGCTGATCTCATATGCCACAATCGACCGATAAATAAAAGGTGTGCAATCTCATGACTCTTCAATAATCTCATAGTTGTAATAATCGACACATACCTAAGGAATTACGAAAAAATAATGATGAGTGTAAAATGTTGTACAGTAGCCGAGTAGAGTATTACGGTACGATATATTAATAATTTTAAATGATACCAATTCCCAGCTTGTGAAAACGCTAAGTTGCAATATGACATTTAATATATTATACATAAATATATATAGGTATAAATAAATAATTTCATTGTCCATAAATCGCGCTCATATTCTTTGACGAGTAAATATGTTGGTAATAGTATCCATACTGCCATAAGAAAGAAAGATCGGAGTCGTTTCCTATTTCTTTGCCAACAGTCTCGAATAAATAATATCGAGAAAGTGAAAATAAATCAATGACCCCTTATATTTCTCTTCGAATTCTGGATACGGTGGATAAATGGGTCCTTATCAACGTATTTGCTTCGTTATATTACAATCAAAAAAAAAAAAAAAAGCATCGCCTGTACTTGTATACAAGTAACGGATTCGTTGCGAGCGCGTAAATGTAAAAATTAGAATTAAGGCCAGTGTTACACGTATACGCAGCGTAATATTCATATCACATAAAGAGTTCGTTAAAAGCATGAATTTCTTCACGTGAACGTTTGACGATGAGAGAGATAGAATGAAAGTGAGAGAAAACGAAAGAAAAAAAATAAATATGCGAATGTTGTAATTTGAACGTTGTCCAAAAATTGAATTATGCGACAACGTTGTCGAAAAATCTCAGTTATGTAAAAATTGTTTTTATTTCGGCGGGTAGTATAGTCAGATAAAACGCGAACGTTCGCAGATACTTTTATAAAAGTAATTGTTATGTTATTTACAGGTCTCCTGCTAATTGCTATCTAAAGAAATGCAAGATTCGCGATATACCATTATAAAATAAATACAAAAAATTTGATAACACATCACGAAGAAACTACTTTACTGAAAATTTGTAAATCTCTATCTGATACTTCCACGATAATTTGTTATATATTATTATAAATCTGGTATATTATTATATGCCATATCGTCGAAAACAGTTCTTTTTCTAAACACCTATACACACACTTTCCTTTGTCACTTCGACATCTAGATTTACCTTTTATTATTTTTATTTTGATAGATGAATTTTACATACAAAATATATCTATATAAATATGTAATAAATATATAGACACAAATAAAAGATCTTCAAGACCTTTACCTCTGTGTAGTAGGAGAAATAGCATAAACTCGTAAGACTTGTATTTGGAAAACAATTTTAATATTGATTCCACTAACTGAAATTATTTTACATAATATGAAATGTACTGCATTAACTGTCATTGACTATTTAGCTATTTTCTTTCAGTATAAAAAGACTTATATGTAATTAAATTGTACTATTTTTTATGATACATAATCTAAATTATCATTATCCTCATCTGATTCTTCGGATACACATATACTGTAATCACTAAAATGATTCTCATCTTCCTCCAATTCTTCCTTTATTCTTGCTTTGTATCTTGCATATTTGTAACCATAAGTATTTACATCATTTTCATCAACTGCATAAATAAAATCATCTTCTTCGGATAAATCAGATTCCTCATCTAATCTCATATTCATAACAGCCTCTCTCATATCATCTTCATCGATTGATTTTTCAGAATAATTTTCAGAATCAGGATAATCATTTCTCCAATTTGACTCTGAATTTGAATCCTCGGATTCATGTTCATCTTCAGGATATCTATCATCTCTATAAGTATCGTAAACCAATTCTTGTTCATATGGATGTATAGCTATATCATCTAAACATATATCATTCTCAGTATGAACATAATATAAATCATATACATAATTATCATCCTAAAATAATAAATATTAGTCAAATTATTAGTCAAGTAATTATCAATTAAAATAATTGAAAAATATTAAGAAAATATCGTTTACTTTCTCTAGAGAATCCTTCTTTTCTATGGATATTGAATCTTCTACATCTATTACAGTCATAATCTTCTCTTCAGAACTTTCGATATTATTCAAAGATCGAAAACAATTAATTACTTTGTAACGATTCTCTACTGAAGTTTGTTTTGTTATTTCTCTTACTTTATTTATTATATCTATAGGATGTTGTTTAAAATATGTTTGTAATTCATCTTTTCTATAGTTTTGAATTAAATGATCGACACTATCTTCCTATAAAAATAAAACAAATAATAATCTTAATGTGAGTATATAATTTATCGAAGATATTTGTTTTTTTTTTTTTTTTGTTTTTTAATATAAACCTGTTTTGCAATAGTTCCAGCAAGTTTAGCAATTGTGGTTAGAGAAGTTGAAAATGTTTCTTCTGCTACTTCATCATCCGTAGTTTTTTGACGTTTACGTGAAATTACTAAAGTATTTAATGGTTCATCATCGTGTCTACGTTTCACACGCAATATTGCTGCCATTTTTTATACTTTATTATTAAAAAAATATTCACACTCGCACCGATGCTTTACGTTTTGTTCCGTTATGTTACATGCTATGTATACTATATACTATAATATACTATATAATATGAAGTTCAATTTACAAAACGATTTGTCTTATTTCGAGGTTAAAATCGTTTTCAACGGTCGACATATCGATTATCATTCGCTGGTCAGCAACAACGCTGGCAGGGCGTAGAAATTCTCGGTATGTTTTTAACTTGGAATTTGTTCATTTTCTTTATATTAAACAATTTATGAAAGCTTAATTGTTGATTTCGCTTAAAATGAAGCGTTAATATCATTATAAAACATGGCGCAATCTATTTTCGACGCTTTAACAGGTAAAATTTTTCTCTCATAGGAATAGGTGGGGTTAACCAACAAGTATTTTATCTTTTTTTTTAAAAAAAACTTTAAATAACATTTTGAGAATTTAAAATATTTATTTTTTTCTTTTTCTTATTAGGTGTATCAGTGCAATCATTATTAGATTCTCCAACTTTAATAACTGAAGTTGAACAATCAGGTAAGTTTTGATGAAGTAATGCCAATAACCTATTAATTGAAAATTCTCTCTCGTATAAATTTTTATAAAATAAATTTATAATGATATTTTTTTGTACTTTATATTTAGCAATTGATCAAGATGAGGAAGATATATTTCAATGCGGGAAATGCAAAAGTCAATTTACATCATTACACATGTTTGTGTTGCACAAAAGAACGCATCAAAAAACACAAGAACAAACAGTAGATTTGAGTCAATTTTTGGTAAATGATGACACTCAGGCTGTTCACACGGAAAACAATAATCAAGATGTATCACAATATAATCCTCAAGAAACATTTGTTCAAAATGATCAACTTAATGAACCAATTATACTTGAAGAATCAGATATGTTATTTAGGTAAATTTATATATATTATATATTATATAATATATTATATATAATATATCAAAAAATATTTCTTTAAATAATATATCATTCATTTTTTATAGCATGGATCAAGAAGGTGCTAATTATTTCACAACAGATTCCACATTTAGTGTTCCAATTATATTAAGTTCGGAAAGTTTGGATACTTTTGAAAACTCTACTATTCCAGGGGATAATGATCCTCTAAAAAATGAATCAAATGAAGTACCTCAAATTCTCCAAAGTGATATTTCTCAAGAACAAAACATTAAAAATACAGATAAAATTGATATACCAATGACTGAAAATCTAATAACAGAATCTGAAACTACTAATAATCAAACACAAAACTTAAAAGTATATATTTTGGTGAAATGACAATTTTTTTATATTTTTATTTAAATTCGCGTATTTTTTAACATAAATTTTTCATTACAGTATAAATGTGGTTATTGTAGCAAACAATTTTCAAAAAAGTTTTATTGGCAACAACATGAACGTTCTCATACAGGGGAAAAACCATATCAATGTGTTGTGTGCGGGCGTGCATTCGCACAAAAATCAAATGTTAAAAAACATATGTCATCACATAAAGTATGGCCAGGTACCGCTATACACTCCTTACCCCCAGAGGTATTTTATTAAACATTTCGAAACAAACTTATAATTTCAAACAATTTCTCTTTTTTTTTTTTCTTTAATTTTTATTTATGATCATTATTAGGTACCACCAGATGGAAGCATAGATCGTACCTACCATTGTCAGTTTTGCAAAGAAATATTTGATTCATACAAAGCTTTAAAGGGCCATCTTATAGTCTCTCACTTAGCACTGAAAGTGTACAAATGTGTGCAAAGTAGTTGTAGTATGATGTTTGCTGAACTTGAAGATTTTTTAGAGCATACTCGCAGTCATAAGAGATCAGAATATCGTTGTCATGTATGTGGTGAAGTATTTAATACTTTGTCTGATCTTGGACTTCATCAATATGCCCATTCCGTCCAAAAGCAAAAAACAACAGAAAAATATTACTGTTGTTCCATTTGTAAATCCTCTTTTTCTAATTTGGAGGCTTTACAACATCATACAGAAACTACAACGCATGATTATGCTTGTCTACATTGTGGAAAAAGTTTCTTGATCGAACGATTTTTACGGCGTCATTTGAAAACGCACGCCTCATCCGCACGATTTACTTGTGAGGATTGCGGAAAGGCCTTTAAAACTGAGCAATATTTAGCCAATCATAAATTAATACATAGCGAGGAAACGCCATTTTTATGTCCAGTAAGTATGATTAAAGTAAAATGTTCGTAAATTATTTTACTTTTTTTAATAATATAATTTATTTATTACAGCATTGTCCAGCTAGATTCAAGCGAAAAGACCGTTTAGGTCGTCATATGTTGATTCATGATTTAACAAAAAGATTGAAGTGTCCCTTCAGAACTTATTTAGGTTGTATGAGTGAATTTTCACGACCTGATAAGTTAAAGCGTCATTTATTGACGCACAGCAATATCAAAAGATTTAGTTGTAGTCATTGTAATCGTAATTTCCATCGGGCACAAGCTCTTAAGCATCATGAGATGAATAAACATAATTTAAAATGCGAAATTTGCTCACACGTAAGTATTTATTTAATCGAATATAATTTAAATAAATATTTATTTTATGAAATTCATATTACAGGCATTTAAAACTAAAGAGCAATTGCTAACTCATAATTGCGATCAGTCGAATGAGACTAAAAAGCATATGAGTTCACAGTTACCTAAGAAAGCTTCTGGATCATTTAAACCAAGGAAACCTACTCCAAAGAGACAAACATCATCAAAGACTGCAATTGGACTTGCTGATAAAGAAAAATTAGAAAAATTTAAGGCTGATGAAATACAGAGAAAAGTAATTTCTTAAAAATAATTTCGTAAGTTTAACAAATTAACATTTATTAAATAATAATTTATATGTTCATTCATTTTAGATCACTTCTGAAATGTTAAAATCTGATGACTGCAGAGAAGAAACTTGTACCATAAAATTAGAGAACATTTCTGTATTAAAAGAAGTCGGTTCAACAATCGAAGCTCTCATCAAATCTGACACAGTGGATAATGAAATCAAACGCAACACTGATGCATATTCGGTACAGCAGACAGGCGAATAGAGTTTTTAAATATATTTTTTAATTGTATTTAAATTATAATATAGCCTAGGCTGTAGATAAGTTGTCATACTACGTGCAATGGGATCATTGGCAAACTTGCAAAAGTTGCATTTTATAATAGTATATATAATATTTTGTAGTTTACATATCTGTGATAATTGTATTATAAAATATATTAATATAAATAACTTATATCTATCTATATCTCAAATATTTTTAATGTCGCCTTCCTTAGGCCGTTTGGAATTTATGGATGTATTAAAGAAAAAGATGTTTATGTCAATGTGTGTATTTCATTCTGCTCAATTTCCTTTTATCATATCTTTAATATTGCATTTAATTTTCTTTCCAACAAATTAGTAAAAAAAATACCATATCTTACGGATGTTAAAATATATTTCAAGATAGTAATTAAAAGGAAGTGGTTTCATAATCACCACCTTCTTCCTTCTACTAAACTAACATTTCGAGTTTGATTTAATAGAAAAAAAAACAGTGTTTTTATGCTCTTAGTGAAAGGTGATATTCCATCTAAATATTAGTGCATGTTAAATTAAATTATATGTTAAAATATGGCTCAACGAGCATCTTATCAAATTACTAACGCTGAGGAAGGCAAAGCAGCTCAACAAGATCAATCTTACAGAAGTTGCGTTTTAGCGTTGTTAATATTTTTATTTCTTTGTATTATCCTAATACTTGTCAGTTTTCCGTGGAAAACATACCATTTCGATCATCTTGAACAAGAAGATGAATATACAGAAACAATGCAGGTAAGTTTTTAATATAAAGAAATAAATAAAGCCTAATAAATAAATAATAATAATTATATCGATACAGCATTATCATCACGAACATCAAACTAAAAGAACAACCAGCTCGATAGAATCAGTTACAATTTCTATGATAGATGAAATGATTACAAAAGAAAGAGAAACGAACATTGAAATATTTAATGTAGAAAATGTTACAAATCAGAATAATAATAATGATGATGATAAATTTGATGATAAACTTCTAAGTCTTGAAACTAGTACGAAAGATCTATCAATTATTACAACTCTGATTACAGAAGAAAATCAAAAAACAACTTCTTCAAATACAACTTCAAATACAAATATGAAAGAGATTTCTTCTAGCGAGAATGAAAAAAATATAGATCTATCAATAATTACAATGGATACATCATTATATAATTCTTCAACATTTATTTTTAATTTTACGGAAAATAGTACATCAACTCCGATTACAGAAAAATATCAAAAAACAACAGATATGATAGAAACAACTTCTACACATACAAATGTTCCTATGATTTCTTCTAGCGAGAATGAAAAAAATATAGATCTATCAATAATTACAATGGACACATCATTATATAACTCTTCGACATTTATTTTTAATTTTACGGAAAATAGTACACCAATTCCGATTACAGAAAAATATCAAAAAACGACAGATATGATAGAAACAACTTCTACAGATACGAATGCTTCTGGAATGGAAGAAGTTTCTTCTAATGAGGATGAAAGAAATATAACAAATATTTCTGAATATATAGTTTCTACAATATCAACTACAGTAAAAAATAACATTATTGATGATTATACAACTATTACAGATACAATTGATTCTACAAGTGATTCATCGTTTAATAATCAAACATGTATTTCGGGTGAATGCAAAAATTTGGCCAGCAAGATATTATTTTATATGAATCACACAATTGATCCATGCGAAGATTTTTATGAATATGCTTGCGGTGGTTTCGAGATCAATCCTCAAACTGTAGAATTCAATTTAGAAGATATATCTTATCAACGCATCTTAAGTGCGTATTTTATTATAAAAAAACATTTTTTTATTATTAAGCAATATTAAAAAGTTAATTTTTTACCATAAATATTATAAAACTGGCTTTTTTCTATTTTTTTCATTTCTTTTATTTATAATAACATTACAAAAAATGCAATATTTTATTTAAAAAATCATATCAAATGAATAAACGATAGAAAGAAATAATTTTTTTTATAAATATATTTTTCAATATTTTAATCAGGACAAATGAAGAAGGAAAATGTGGAAAATGCATCTCTCTTTACCAAATATTACGACAGTTGCATGCAATACGAAAAAATTAATCAAAAAGAAAGAATAAAACTAGGTAAATGAAAATTATAAGTTTAATTAATTTCTAATTTCGAATACAAGTTTAATGTATAATAAATATAATTTTTTTTTTTTACAGCAAGAAAACTATTAGATAAGGTAGGAAAATTTTATACTACAAAAGATTTGGCTAAAAAGCATACAAACTTTACTTTTCTACTCGCTACATTATTATTACACAACAGGTAAATAAGAAATGAAAACGACCGTACAAAAATATCGCACGTCGCATTCATATAATATATACATATAATATATATATTTTGTACGTATTTTTATTTCTATAGCGTTTTATTGTTCGATATCGCCCCAGATCTCGACGAATATTCACCGAAACAATTCACTCTTAAAATAGGTCCAACGACATATAGCAATCCTTTCGAAATAGAGGAAACTAATGATCCTTGTTATACAGATCAATTGGAAAGAGAAAAAGAAACGGTGGATTTAGGAAAATTGTATAAGGAATACAAAACATGCAAAGTATACAAACATGTACATGTATAAAAAAAATATGTTCTATCGATAGAAACCTATAACAAATGTTCTTCTCATTTATTTGTTTTAGAAAAATGATACGATAAAATTTATTAACTCCATATCGGAAGCTCTTATAGCATTTGAAATATTTAATGAATTGAACAATTCGTACGATATCTCTCAATTAATAAGTAGTACATACATCAATATCGATTTTAATATAGTAAAAGGATTTTTCGCGGTGAGGTCAAGTTAAAAGTTTTTTTCACTGAATGTAAATGAACTTTGTTCGATACGGTTTCCTTTTCAGAATTTTCCTTCCCAAGATAAGATTCGCGAGGCATATCTTATGAAAAATTATACCCGTATCACTATCGAGGAATTGCAGAACAATTTTAAAGTAGTAAGGAAGAAAGAATTTGAATTTATTAGATATTTAAGCTTAAGCTAATCCATTTTTAAATCGATATTCTCTATAATATATATATTTTTTACAGATAAATTGGACGCAGCTTATTTATTTTTTAACGAAGCAACGTGTTCAAGAAAAAGTAAAAGTACAGGTTTACTTTTACAATGAACTAGCTAAGGGATTGAAAATTTTGGAAGAATTTGAAAAAACAGATCCGATGACATTATACAATGCATTGTTAGCATTGTATGCACGCAATCTTTATCACGAGGTACATAAGTTTTTCATAGATCAATGCGAAATATTTGTTCAATCGATTTGGATTATATATCAAAATTATTAAATATTAAAACTAGTATAATTTCTTTTTATATTTCTGAATGCTTTATCGGATTGGACATTGTTATTTTTAAATTTGTTGTTTAATAGAATAATATAATAAAGTAGAGATTAATAAAGAAAAAAATTAAAAATATTATAATGGATCATATTTTTTAATGATCTTAAAACATCTCATGATTAATATTATTATTTTATATTATATTATTATTATTACTAGATATTATATCCCATCGTAGCAATAACTATTTTAATAATTTAATAATATTTTGACCGAAGTGCAAATTTTTTTGCTATTAGAAGGAATATTTCGCATCAGACTATGAAAACTTTTATTTATTTTTTCTGATTAATGTTTCAATTTTCTTTCTTCAATTAAAGTTTTTAATAACTTTTAACATTTATTTTTTTCTTTTAGTTAGTTTTATCAAAACATGTTAAAAATGTAGATATTAAAAAATACTGCCTACGCGTAGCTACTAATATTTTAATCCCGGAAGCTTCGAACTTATATATTTCTTCGTTTTCGAAAGATGAACTTATTTACATAAATGAAACTGTAAGCATTCATTTCATATAATGATTAATAATGAAGATAATCATAAGATGACTAATCCTTATATAAAATTTAATAGATACATAGTATATTTGAGAAACTTAAGGAGACTCTAAAATTAAACATTAAAAACAAAAAATGGGTTACACAAAAAGATCGTGTCGCATTAATAACAAAAATAAATAATCTTAAAATTGTCCTACCCGATATTTCTTATTTTAATAATAATAAATCAATTTATGTAAGATATCAAGCAAACAAGGTATAAAAAATCAATTTCGTTTTTAAAAATATGATATTAATAATAAAAAAAATTTAAATATTGTTAACTAAATTATTTTTATTGAATGATATTTAATGATAGGTCCAATTCTAGGTAAATTTATCGAATAATTACTTAGAAAATTCAATAATTTTAATGCAAAGATATCGAAAATTAATCTATGCACAAGTTTCTACAAATCCAGGAGATCTTGAACAAATGTAAGTTTTTATAATTAAAAAGAGATATAGAAAATATCTTTACATTGTTAAACTATATGAATTAATGTAGATGGACACATTATGCAAAACCATACCAATCTAAAGGAATCGCGATTTATGGATTAAATCTCATTGTGATACCATTTGGTATAATCGATTGGTCCATGAATTATAATGAATTTTCATTTGATTACATAAAAATGGCGACAATTGGTAACATAATTGCACACCAAATTGCTCATCACTTTGATGCAAATGGTATATTAATAATATGTAATTTTATATTATTATAATGTTTAACGTTCTAGAATTATAATAATAGATTTATAAAAAAATTCAAAACCATCTTATCGTCCAAATGTTCAATGATATTTATATATCATTAGGTATTTATTATTGGAATGGAACTCGCAATGCCAAGAACAGTTTGTTAAACGATGATAAATCTAAATATAATTTTAATGAATATATTAACTATCACCGAAATGATCAAAATTATATGAGTATGACATTATCATTTACTGGACAAAACGTGAATTATGAGGTAAATTGATACATTTTTTTTTTTTTTATAAAATCGTTGCGATGTAAAAATATTATTTTAAAATAAAATATTTAATCAAATACGTTTTTACAAACTTAATAAATTTTTTTTATTCAAAAATGTTTTAGATTTCGCAATTGACTCTAAATGAACGTCTGTCCGAGATAACGGGACTAAGATTAGCCTACGATACTTTGGCTCGATTGAGATCTAAAAAAGATTATCTTCCATGGTTAGAACTTGATTTCAATCAGTTATTCTATCTCACCTATGCTCAGGTACTTTCGTTACAGTAAAATTTATGGCATTGATATTTTAAATAAAATTACAAACATTATGACAATTATCGTAAGTAAGAACTTTCATAGATGATTTTTATAGATGTACTGTACGAAGTCACCACTTACGTCATCGTATATATCATTGTATGAGAATGAACAGTTACCAAATCGGATTCGTATTTTTGTCTCCGCATCAAATAATATGCTTCTCGGCAAAGCTTGGAATTGTCCGCAAGGTTCACGAATAATGCCAAATATTCCATATATTGAATGCAAAGTATTTCCATATTTATGCGATACAGCAGAATAATGTAACTACGCAATTAAAATGCGTAAATAATATAACAAATATTTTTTTATAAAAAAACGTGAGTTAAGTGGTAACAACGCTTTTCATTTATTCTCAGGAACATTTTTTTCATAACATTCACGCGCAAACGAGCGCAGTATTCAAAAACCAGACAAACTCATGTATTCATTAAATCCATTACATCCAAAACTTCTATTGTACGATGATATAATGTGACTAGAAAATTTAATAATATAAATAATTCACCCTTTAGTTAAATATTCCTTGCTCATAATTGTTTATAATTGTTTTTTTTCCAATAAATCCATAGATTTTGTAGAATGAATCATGTCTCCTAGAATACAGATCAATTCCTAAAAATATTTATTAGTATTCAATTTACCAATGATGAACTGAGCTCTATGATAAAATATTTATATATTTTTATAATAAATACATATAATTCATATTTTTCAATAGTAGTAGGAAAGCATTCATAACACAATTTATTTAGTTTTATATTATTCATGTCAGTTATGTAACAGATTGCAAATGTAGCACTCTTGTTTTATATTTAGTATTTAGTTAATTATAAATCAATAGCCCAGTGCACTATTGGCTTAATCATTATTTACACCTCAAAAAAATATAATAAACATTAACCATAACATACCACTGCTAAGGGTTACATCCAGATGACTGTTGTCTAGTTGAGTAATACATTGTTTTGAAGTAGCTTTCTTTTCTGTCTGAAAAGATGAGAGCCATGCAAAAGACATTAGAAAAAGACATATAAAAATAATAAAAAAAAAACATAACCATACAGTTAGTTACAAAATGAATAATTTTCAGTTTCATTTTAAAGAAATAAACACATACCTCAAAGTACCGATGCCATAAAACACAGCCATAAACACAAAGAACTGAGACTAGAGATTGGCAAAGTAGCCATAGAAGAATATTTAATGCTTGAGTACGTTCAAATAATGCAGCACCATGCCTTATACATAGTAATGCTTCTGTAACCATAATTGCACCATAAACCCAACATTGAGTCCCTACTCTACTACATGTTGGATCTGTTACATACATGTAGTATTGCCTATAATTATGTTAAAATATTATACTACTTGTGTAACAAATTATTATAATTGCTATAATACATTTGCAATACATATTTAATATAAATTTATCTTATTTTGCATACCTAACAGAAGGTGCAACTATTACTCCAATTAATACCAATCTTGCCACAACAAATGGATGAGAGGGTGGAAATTCATACACATGTTTCAAAAAAAATGTATTGAGCTCTGAAACTTGCCAGAATATAACCAACTGACACAGAGCAACGAATCTCATATATGTACATGTTGGATCCAACCATCTAACAGCAGTCCAACTACCAGGAGTAAATTGTAGCATTGCTCTCTTTAATTTTCCAGTAGTGCTCTCAATGTCAAGAATGCTTACCCATTTATATTCTCTCATTTCTAAGAGAGAGCAAATTTTTAATCCAACCCAAATACCCAAACCATTACAGACAACAACATCAAGTATAAAAGCATCCCACCAACATTCCACAAAATTTGGTAATAAATGAGCAAATGCTATTTCTGTTACTTCCCACATAATACTAATAGCCCAAAGAATACCAAGATGACGAATAAGAATTGCTTTAAAAGTCCATCCTAAGAAATGAGCTAATGCAAAAACATCTAAATGATTCCATATTTTCTCAATTGTAATTTCTGAACAATTAACACCATATTCTTTATCCATATCAATATGAAACGATGCCAAACTAGGATCTATCCAAACAAAGATTTTTCTAACTGTTTCATAATCTTGAAATAGCATAAATAATAGACCCATTAGATATAATACACTACAACCAAATACAAGTTTCCATACAACAGGATGAGGTCTCGTAAATGGTCCATTTGGAAATGTAAGTATAGATATAATCAGAAAGAAAAATATGATACATAATATTCCAGCCCAAATATTGTCCTCAACATTAGTAGTATTCCTGTATTGAATCAATATCGATATTTACAGAAAAAGTATAAAATTATATAATAAAAAAATTTAAATAAAATTTAATTACCTAGTGAATGCGGAATATATTACAGCACCGATTGAAATGAGAAGAAGTGTAATGCTATGTGGTTTATAAAAAAATTCGATGGAAATATCATCAACCGGTCTTTCATTAATATTTGGAAAACTGTCCGTTCCATGTCGTAATTTGTGCCCTTCAATATTGTCTATACTACTTCGACAATTCACAACCTTATTTTCGTCACTTTTGATGAATCTCTCTAAGAGACTGTCATCTACAGATTCTTCGTTAGTTGTCATTCCGATCAAATAATTATTCGTTTTAAATTTATATTTTAATCATTTCACACGTTGTTTCGCCATGTTTTCCTTTTTCATTTCTATGTGCATCATCACGCTATTGAAGAACTTTGAACCACTTAAGCACATACAAATAATGAATCAGATAGAAAAATACTACGGAAATCAATTTACTTCCTGTTATATGATTAGAATTAAATAAAAAAAAAACAAATTTAACCAATTTTGTTTATATATCAGCTGATTGGACACGAAAGTATTCCTTTGAAAACGAACCTTTATATAGATATTAAACAGTTGTATAATTATAGATGTCACGACTAAGCTTGCCGCTTAGAACTCTCTATCTACATGTGATGTCATCGAGATATGGAGCAATATATATGAAAAAGACTAGTTGGGAGGATTGGTAAGAAGATGCGTTGCTTAGCAACAAAACGCGATGATGCGACACTATCTTCCCATATTTCGTACTACTACATAGTATATTGTATCATCAAGTAGATGGCGTCGCATCATCAGATCAGATAGCGTCTTGTTGCCAAGCAACGCATTCTCCCACCAATTTTAATAGTTCCCTTTCTATTCCATACTTCACTGATGTTAACGTAGCAATATTGTTCGGCAATAAGTAGTACTTTGTCTTACTTCAGTGACGTCACGTATAAATTAGTATAGAAAATTCTTCGGCAACCTTAAATTGCGATTATTTCTTGTTGCAAGTAGAGTTGTTCCGTTTGTTATTTTGTTTTATTAATAATTTTTTTATATATTACTTTTAAAAAGTTTCATATTTTTATTAAAAAATGGCAGATTATTTAGATGCTGAAGCAGAAGAAAGTGAGGTGGGTAATAAAATATAAAATAACGACATTTAATTTTACATAACCTAATAACGTGATATTGTAGGAGGAGGAGGAACTCGATGTTAATGAAAGAAAAAAACTTAAAAAATTAAAAGCTATGCAAGATAGTGATGATGAAGATGACGATGAAGGTAATTCGTACAAAAATGCATTTATATACTACCTCTAATTAAATATATTTAAATATATTTGCTAAAATATCTGTTTGAAAGTTCTAGAAAAAATGATATTTAAAAAACTATAGCAATTTATACAATATTAATATTTAAACTAGGGATGTACGGATGCTCGAAATTGTAGTTCGGATTCGGATTGTTGTTCGGAGAATTTTTTTTTTTACTTTGGGCGGAATTCCAAAAGTTTTCTGGCATATAAGTATCCGTAATTTCAAAATTTGAAATACAATTCGAGACTATGTAAAACTTTCTGCCTAACTTGACCTGAAGATCGGATACTCATAATATTATTAATATATTAAATAATTATTATCATTTAAAATCATTTTTGTTTAAATTTTATTTATCTTTAATATGAATAGAAGATGAAGGAGAAGTTCCAGGACTTATTGATGATAATCCAATTGAAGATGATGATAATGATGGTGAAGATAGTGATGGATCTGATTATTCTAGAAAACGTAAAAAAAGTGATGATGAAGATTTTGATGATCGTTTAGAAGATGAAGATTATGATCTACTTGAGGAAAATTTAGGAGTTAAAGTTGAAAGGGTATATACAATTGCAAAAAAATATAAAATATTTTATATAATTTCACAATTTTTTATTATGATTTTATTTTTTAGAAACGTCGTTTTAAACGTTTGCGAAGAATACAAGATGAAGAATCAGAGGGAGAAGAAGAAAGAGAAGTAGATGATGAAAGAGATGCCATTGCAAATGAATTATTTCAAGGCTCTGGAGAGGTAACTTTTAAAATAAGATTTATGTGTGATTGGTTTAATAATTATATTGTAAAAGAATATATATATTGTTATATATTGTAAAAGAAATTAAATAATCATTTATTATTCTTATAGGAAGATGAAGAAAGAAGTGAAGTTAGTCACAGAGGTGAAGTGGAAGGATTTGATGAGGAAGAAAGTGAAGATGAGGATGATTTCATTGTGGATGGTGATGGAGTACCTATAGCTGAGAAAAGAAAGAAGAAAAAACCTATTTTTTCTGATGCGTAAGAATTTTTTGCTTTATAAATATAATATAGAACATAATATGTTATGATATGTTATGATAACATATGTTAATTATTTATATACTTATTACAGTGCTTTACAAGAAGCTCAAGATATTTTTGGTATAGATTTTGATTATGATGAATTTGGAAAATATGGAGAAGATGAATTTGAAGATGATGAAGATGAAGAAGAAGATGATTATATTCATGACGAGATAGAAGATCGACCAAGACGGTCAAAACAACATCTTAAAAAAAAGAGCACAAAAAAAAGTATCTTTGAGGTATATGAACCTAGCGAACTTATACGTGGTCATTTTACTGATATAGACAATGAGGTAATTAAAAATAACACTAATTTATCATCAATATTTATAAATAATATTTGAGCTATCTTAATATATGTACTTTAGATTCGTACAACAGACATTCCTGAACGTATGCAACTTCGCGCTGTTCCTATTACATCAACTGTAGAAGGTTCAGATGAATTAGATCTTGAAGCAGAATGGATATACAAACAGGCATTCTGTCAACCGACGATTTCAATACAAGATGCTCATCTTAATGAAGAAGCCAAAGAAAGAGCTAGAAAAGGTCCTCAAACAGTTAACAAAATTAAAAAAGCTTTAGATTTCATGCGTAATCAAAACTTTGAAGTTCCATTTATATCATTTTATAGAAAAGAATATGTTTTACCAGAGTTAAATATTAATGATTTGTGGAAAATTTATAAGTTTGATATGAAATGGTGTCAACTTAAACAAAGGAAGGAAAATTTATTGAAATTGTTTGAAAAAATGAGAAATTTTCAATTAGATGAGATTATGAAAAATCCAGATGCTCCGTTATCTGATAACATACGAATTATTAAAGATGATGATATTGAACGACTTAAAAATGTTCAGACTTTTGAAGAACTGAATGATATTTATCGACATTTTATGTTATATTATAATGAGGATGTATCAGTTATGCAAGAAGATGTACGCAAAAAAGAGAAAGAAGCACAAAAAAAAGCTAAATTGGAGAAAAGAAAACAACAAATCGAGGAAGCTGAGGAAAATGGAGAAGATCTTCCTGAAGAAATTGCAGATATAGATGATGAAGAAGAAGAAATAGACGAATCATTAAAAAAGCCAATTAGGAAAGGTCCTTATTATATTTGTAAAAAGGCTGGTTTAGATGGACTTGCTAAAAGATTTGGTCTCTCTCCAGAACATTTTGCTGAAAATCTTCGAGATAATTATCAACGCCATGAAGTAGATCAAGATCCAACAGAACCTGCAATAGTAGCAAATGATTTTTGTTCAGCAATTTTTAATACAAATGAAGAAGTACTTAAAGCTGCACAATTAATGGTTGCAATTCAATTAGCGCATGAACCATTAGTACGCAAATGTGTTAGAGAAATGTATATGGAGAGAGCAAAATTATCTATAAAACCAACTAAAAAAGGAATAAAAGAGATAGATGAGGCTCATGCCATTTATGGATTAAAATATCTTAAAAATAAGCCTGTACGAGATCTTGTTGGTGATCAATTTTTAAAACTAATTATAGCAGAAGAAGATAAATTAGTTACATTTTCCTTTAGTGATATAATTGAAGGAAATACTAGCAATAATTATATTGATGAAATAAAGCAACTATATTATAGAGATGAATTTAGTAAAAGTGTACAGGATTGGAATACATTAAGAACTGGTAGTGTTGAAATAGCTTTAAATCGTATTATAATACCGCAATTGAAAAAAGAATTACGATCTAATCTTTTAATAGAGGCAAAAGAATGCGTTATGAAAGCTTGTTGCCGTAAAATGTACAATTGGATAAAAATTGCTCCATATACTTGTGAATTTCCTGAGGAAGATGATGAAGAATGGAATACTAGTAAAGGAATTCGTGTGATGGGTGTAGCTTATGTGCCTGATCCATCTCAAGCTGCTTTTACTTGCATAATTTCTCCAGATGGAGAATGCACTGATTATTTAAGATTACCACATATATTAAAACGTAAAAATAGTTTTAGGGATAACGAAAAAGTGTTGAAAGAAGCTGATTTATTAGCAATTAAAAATTTTATTGCCACAAAAAAACCACATGTTGTAGTAATAAGTGGTGAAACTAGAGAAGCATTAATGATAGTAGCTGATATAAAAGAATGTATATCTAATCTCATAGAGGAAGAACAATATCCTTCAATTCAAGTGGAAATATGTGATAATGAACTTGCTAAAGTTTATGCAAATAGTAATAGAAGTATATCTGAATTTAGAGATTATCCAGAACTATTAAGACAAGCTATATCTTTAGCAAGAAGAATACAAGATCCTTTGTTAGAGTTCTCTCAATTATGTACAATTGATGAAGAAATTCTGTGCCTTAAATATCATTCTTTGCAAGATCAACTTTCTAAAGAGGATCTTATAGAAAATTTATATTTAGAATTTATAAATCGTATAAATGAAGTAGGAGTAGATTTAAATAGAGCAGTTCAACAGCCTTATACAGCAAATTTAGTACAATTTGTATGTGGTTTAGGACCCAGAAAAGGACAAGCTCTGATTAAGATTTTAAAGCAAACTAATCAAAGATTAGAAAATAGAACACAACTTATAACAGCATGTCATATGGGACCTAAAGTATTTGTCAACTGTGCTGGTTTTATTAAAATTGATACAAATAGTTTAGGAGACAGTACAGAGGCATATGTAGAAGTTTTAGATGGTTCGCGTGTACATCCAGAGACATATGAATGGGCTAGAAAAATGGCAGTAGATGCTTTAGAATATGATGATGAAGATGCAAATCCTGCAGGAGCTTTAGAAGAAATTCTTGAATCACCAGAAAGATTAAAAGATTTAGATTTAGATGCATTTGCAGAAGAACTTGAAAGACAAGGTTTTGGAAATAAGTGCATTACTCTTTATGATATAAGAGCTGAACTTAATTGTAGATACAAAGATCTTCGTATATCATATCAATCTCCAAATACTGAAAAATTATTCGATATTTTGACTAAAGAAACTCCAGAAACTTTTTATGTTGGTAAATTAGTTTTGGCTACAGTTGTTGGTATAAGTCATAGAAAACCACAAGGAGAACAATTAGATCAAGCAAATCCTGTTCGAAATGACGAAACCGGATTGTGGCAATGTCCATTTTGTTTAAAAAATGATTTTCCAGAATTGTCTGAAGTATGGAA